CTAGTGTAGCTATTTACAAGTGTTGAAAGCTGTGTAGCAGCCCCTAGTGGCAGGTCTGTTGCAATTACAGCCCCCTTCCACAGCATACCTGCCCCAGTGAGATACGCCCCTTGGCAGTGGGTCTAGGCAGCACCGGAGGACTTGCCCCGAAATGTGCCTTTCCCCCAAGATGGTAGTTGGAGTAGTTCAGTGTGCCTGTCCTAGGCTCATGCACCTTAGCTCTGACCGTCTAGTACAGATGTACAGAGCCTTTCGTGGTTAAATAAGAGAAACTGTTCTGAAATACAGTTCCTACTTTCTGTGTTAACTAAGGTTTACTGAACTGCCTCAAAACAGAATGTGGATGTTGAGTCATTCTTATTTTAGCTTGAAAGCAAAGGCCTGTTTGCTTGGTTTTCACTGCAGCGTGTGACTAGATGAAACTGCAGTGTTTGTGCTGATCCCAGTCTTGCCTGGCACAAGGACTCCTCTCAGTCACTGAGTGTTGGGAAGGCAGAAGACAGTGGGTGTGTTTCCCACAAGACTGACCCTCTGTTGCAGGGAACACACAGCTTCTTTAATAAAGTGAATCATTTCTGACTGCCTGCAAAAAGAGCAGCATTTCTCATCATTGTGACCTTCTTAATTAAACTTCCCTGATGGCATTTGAAAGTGGTATTTTTAGAGAATTTCATTAGTGAAAAGTTCAGGATTTAAATAAGTGGAAAAACAACAACAACCTCCAAACTAACTACGAAAGCTCATTTTTAAATGTAATAGAGTGCTTGCTTTCAAAGGTATGTTTGTCTGAGGAGAAACAAAGTAAATTTCAATTCTCCAGTCACCATGTATGCCAAGTGTGGTAGTTTGTGTCCCTTGTCTTTTGAATGTATCTATTGTTGCTTTAAATTACGTGCATCTGAAATTTCCCAGAGGACCCACTGCCAGTTCTGAAACAAGAGTGCTTCTGCATGTTAAATAATCTTCATTCTCAGTACAGCTCAGCTTTAAGACTGTTTCTGATGATCACCAGAGCACTGAGATGTGTAATTCATTCCGTCTGCTTTCAAGTTCAGTTTCTGATGTCTTCTGAGCTCAAGTTATCAAGCTGTTAAATTGTGTACACCTACTGCATAGATTATTTCTGTTTCTCAGAACTCTGTTGGAACTATTGTTGGCAGTAGTAGTTGTATCGGAGGTGATTAGAATGTGTCTCTGTTTTTCTCAACGTGTGGCTTTGGGAAAAAACTCTTCCGGGTGACTCCTGATCCCCCTTGTCTTTGGCAGGTGGCAGTCATCATGTCATTCCGCCTGTGGATCATGGGCGGCTCCATGCCCTTGTTCTCTGAGCAGGACAACCCAGCATCCTTCTCTCCACACCTCCTCACCAGGTAAGTCCACCCACACCTTCACACAGAGCTGCTGACCAGCAGATAACTTCCCGTTGGACTTGGGGTTCTCCAGAGTCTTTGGAATACTGTACTGCTCCTGGATGGACACCAGGGAGATTTATTTGTGAAGTTAGTTCTCACTCCTATTGTAAAAAGAGAAGCTCTTTCTAGGTTTTTTGTGGAGCATAGCCATGCAACCCTGATTGGGGCCGATCTTTGCTGATCTCTGAGCCCAGCTAATTCTTTTTATAGCTGTGATTTCTGCACTTTGGGTAATGTGCTTATTGTGCATTTTAACGTCTTGCATGGAAAGTGTTCCTCATACCTCCTGAAGCAACACAATAAGAGCATTGATACTGTTCACACTTGGGCAGCGTAACATAGTGGGTGAATCTCTGGGCTCGTGAGGGGGCAGGCAGGTTGTGGGTTCGAGTCCCTGCTGCAGACACTGCTGTCATTCCCTGAGTGGGGTACTTTACCCCAGTGGCTCCACTCCTCCCAGCTTTATTAGTGGGGACCAGCAGAGCTGGGGGTAATTCCTGTGATCTTTGTCCTGTCTGGGGGGGTCAGTGAACTCTCTGTTCACGCACCAGGATGTGCTGCTGTGGCTCTGCTCTGGACATCACCTCTACTGTTCGCGGTCCATGTTCAGTCATGGTTTATTGCTCTCCCTGTCGGTGTTTCTGTGCTCAGGAGGGCCTGTCAGTCTCACGGGTGGACAGTTTCTTCAGGTGGTCACTTGGAGCTGCTCATGGCTGAGCGGGCTCACTCCGTGTTTTGAAGGCCAGGGAAGTGTAGTGTGCTTTGGCATCTTGCCGTGGCTGAATTTCTTTACCATTCGGATCTGTACCAGGAGCTTGATAAAGGGCGATCAGACGGAGGCAATCCAACTCTTCCCCAACAGTTATCTTGCTGCCTCAGGCTTGTATCTTTACTACGCACACAACCTTTTTAGAATTGGCGTGTCTTAGATGTAAGAGGAGTTTTGGAACACAAGACAGCCTGTATCATCATTCTTCTGCAGTATGGTCGTTTTAAAGCCTTCGGAAACTGTGGGAATTATTGGTCATTGATTAAGTATATAAATCTCCAGTAATTGGAACACATCAGCTTGTGTCTGAATGTTGTGCTAAACGATATTTTTTTTGAAAGGTGCTGCATATGGCATGTAGTGCTTGTTAATTATAAAGGGAATGTGGATCACCTCTGCTTTGCTCTGCATAAAAAGGGAGAGGTACAGTACATCATGACTTTCTGCATTTGAGTCCTGCTGAGTTTATTGCTGAAAAGGAAGCAGGATGATTCTAAAACCAACAGCCCTTTTGTGAATCTGACGGGCTTTTTCAGTCCCCTTCACAGCACCTGGGAAATGAAGTGCACACTAGAGAGTCAAAGACATGTTACAAGGCTGACAGTGCTGTAAAATCTGCAGGACAAGGTCTTGTACTCAGTCCAGAGTGTGCGGCCTGTCCTCTTACAGTGCGCTGCTGGAGCAGTGTCGGAGAACCATGACATTTCTGCTGCAGCATCTGCTATTCCTTAGATCCACGTTTCCCATTGTTTCCTGCCAGCATGCAGGCGCGATGCTGTTCCTTTTCCAAGGGAATGTGAAAATGCATTCTTTGTCAGCTGCTTTTTTTAACCTCGTCTCCATCTGTTTGATGTTCACGGTTTCGGCACCGCTGTGACGTGTGATTGATCTGCTCGTCGTGGGCGTAGGCGTTGCTGTGTTATCTATCCAAATATTAATAACTACTGTTTGTGAAAGGCAACGCGAAGAGAGAGCGTTCTCTCTGCTCAGATCATCCTTATTGACAGAGACGAAGTGTGGTGTGATTTATTAGTGTATATCACACACATCCTGCAGTAGTAATGTTCTGAATGTTCTAAATAGACATCTCTGTGCATTCAGGCACTGGGTTGCCACAACTACTCAGCACTGCGACAGGGCACTGTAAGTGTCTTGATGAGCTTCTAAAGTGGTCTCGGAGCAAACTATAGACACTTTGAACTGCTACACTGAGGTCCGTGAATTGATCATTTCATGACCTGTACTGTAACAGCCCCTGTCCCAACGTCCCAAGGTGAAAACAGAGACCTCAGGAATGTATACAGCCCTGCCCTAACCTTGCACGTGTATTGTACAACTGTCTGTCTGTCACTTTGTATTAAATATAGGAGCACACTGTCAGATGTGAGTTATGGTGTATGTGTTTCACAGGTGTGACGTACTGTAAATAAGATTGGAAAACATCCTGTGTGCGAACGAATGTTAGATGCTGATACTAAAATAAAGCGGTTTACCAGTTTCTGTGAGAGGTGGTCAAGTGAGCTTACTGATACAGGTCATCCCAGGGTGACCGTCTCAGAAGATCATTTTTCCTATACTGACATGGCCAAAAGGACTAAACGTTTTCAACTGTGAACTGAGAGGACTACAGTCAGATCTGATTAAAGTTAGAGATACAAGATTCAAAATCTTCAAAAGCATTGAAAAAAACAAGTGAAGTTTTGAGAAGAGTGAAATTTAAAACAGTGGGTACAAGTGGATATTATTAAAATATTAAAAAACTGGGACCAGGAGGCACTACTTTACCCAAAGGGTGGTGGGAGTGTGGAACAAGCCATGCTGAAGCTGATACCCTGTCCGCTTTCATGAAATGACTGGATATTATCCTCGTATCAATGACCTTCTGGAAACCAAACGTGCTAGATGAGTCAAACGGCTACTCCTCATCTGTTCAATTCTTATGAGATGCTGCTGACTTTCATACTTTTGCAGTGGGACACATGGTCATAAAGGTTTGGAAAATCTAAAACCAACTCATCTTGCAGGTCTTTTTATTTTTATAGTGTTCCATTTAGTTTTACAGCAGCATAAGAACTAAGGTATGTCCCCAGCACACACAAACCAAAAACATCTGCTTCAGGGGTCAGAGCGAGGCAACGTTGCTGTGCAGAATTAACCAGGAGCTGCCCCTGGGCCATCCCACTGGAGTCCCGAGATCTGCATACGAGGAGAACAGCCAAGCGAAACCCGGTGCCCACTGCACGGCTGTCTCATCATTGATGAGTTTCATGAGCTTCGGAAGTCCCAGGCATGCTTCAGAGCTGAGGCACGGGAGTCGTGTCAGCAAAATAAGCGGCTCTTCCTTCCTCTGTGATTCTACATGTCCTGCAAAAATGGAAAGCTACAAAAATAACAATGGCTTATTATTAATGACTTGAGATGTTAAACTCATTTACCTATTGAGTGCGCCCACTGACATTCTTCCATCATAATTGGTTAAAGGGTTTTTCAATGGAATTTGATCTTGACTGAGGGAGTGAACAATCCTAATTTAAAGCCTGGAAATGCTGAGTGTGCTGTATGTGTCAGTCTCACTGCAGACAATCAGTTGTGACAAAAACCCCTTGCAGACATAAGACCATAACGCATATTGACGTCACCGCCCCTCCCTGTGAACAGCAGGGACTGCAGCCGTCGGCCTGACGGGAGATTTCCCTTTAGCTCAACTGGCTGGGTCCCTGTTGAGTGACGCCGGGGGCCCGGGTTCGAGTCCCCGACAGTGGGGGGCCGACCTGAGGCGGCAGTGGTGAGGGCGCGTACCCACGTGAACCCGAGAGTGCTACAATACATTGAAATGAACAGCCGGCACTCGTCCAGCTCACTGTGTGTGAAAGTTTTATTTCCCCCAAGCTTTAATATGCTGGGATGTTCTAGTACATTATTTATGTGCGGACAGGCGTGTATCATTTACTTAGTACTGTAAAGGTACAAGAGATTCAGTTCTGTATTGAGAGTTCTTTTTTTCCCCAGAAGAGTTCTTCTCCCTGTGACGTTTCTTATGATAGGGAGGTATTTGCTTTGCTTGTTAAAATTGGCATGAACTGGTAAGGTCAAGTTGCAGTGCTGTGTTCTTGATTTAACAACGCAATCCATAACATTTTTGTCTTGATTAGCTTAACACATGCAAACCTCTAATTATTTATTTGAGATTTTGCTGGTCTGGCTTAGACAGAGTCAGGGTATTGGGGCAGAATCAAGAGCACAAGTCTGAGGACCCGTGTTGCTCTACGCAGGTCTGTTTCCCAGCTGCAGCGTCACCCCGGCGATGGGTCTGGGGTCCCCAGTGCTGCGGAAGGCCAGACCCGCAGTGCAGTGTGCTGACTGACTCTCTTCCTCGTCCCCAGGCTCCTCACGTACAGCTACCTCCTGGCCTTCAACGCCTGGCTGCTCCTGGCGCCCATCGTCCTGTGCTACGACTGGCAGGTGGGCAGCATCCCCCTGCTGGAGTCGGTGTGGGACGTCCGCAATGCCGCCACCTGCCTCTTCGGAGTGGCCATGGTCTGTCTGTGCCTGCACTGCCTGGCATCATTGCAGGTAATCCTGCTCACCTGGGGACCCAGCCCAGCCACAGGTGCAGGCTCTTTCTCTCCCCCTTTGTCTCACGGTCTCAGTCTCTCTGTCGTCAGTTTTTGACCATTATTGACATGACTGAGGCTAAAGCCTACACAATCACCTCAACCTTTACAGCACGAACATATAGATAAACATTTTCAGACACCACAGGAGAAATGGTATTATTTGAGACGGTCAGTCGTTGTTCCTCAGGCTGTGAAAGCAGAGTACGTACTGGGCTGCCAGCTCAATTGAGTTTCCTCCCCTTGTAGGTTTAGAAGCAGTTTACAAGTGCTGTTTCTATGTGTTTCTGTCATATCTGCAGTGGTGTGCTTGGAGATACAAACCTTTATCAGATTCATCTACCAGCCAAACTCTGTTCTTGTCAAATAGGGAGTAATTAGAGTTGTAGTTAGAATACGATCACTTTATTGGCCAGATACAATTTCTTGCATTAGGAATTTGTCTTTTCACAGACCCCAGCTTGCTCTCCATGAGACACACAGACAGGGAGAGAAGCTGGGGGTCAGAGCGCAGGGTCAGCCATTTATACAGCACCCCTAGAGCAGTTGGGGGTGAAGGGCCTTGCTCAGGGGCCCAACAGAGTAGGATTCCTCTGCCGGCTGCAGGATTTGAACCGGCAACCTTCTAGCCACAGGCTCAGATCCTGAGCCACAGAGCCACCACTCCGCCCAAGTGGTGCTTGAATATCATTGAATACTTTGAATACTCGAATATCATCACATAGTGAAGCTCCTCGATATACTGCAATCTACTGTCTGATCATTTTGTCCCACGTATTTTAATTTATTTTCTGATTGGTTTTATAACAGGTTTAAGGTGGATCGGTGTCCGTGGGTCCCATGCGGCTCTCCCCCATGATATTCTTGCAGCTGCTGCCCAGCTTTTTAGTCCGTAGTGGTGAAGTGGTCAGGGCTCTGGACTGACCAGTCCTCCCTGTAGGTGGCCTTCCTGCAAGTGGAAGGCCGATGGTTTAAATCCCAGGGTGGTTCTGCTGTTCTGTTTCACCTCCTTAGGGGTTGGTGCAATAAAGAGCCCTTCAGTATAAATGTAAGTTCTTTTGGAGCGTCGATCTAGTAAATGACAGTAATAATAATCTGAAAATATGCCTTAATGATCATTAAGGCATTGCTGCAATTAGTTTCAGAATGCTAACTCCATGTCCATTGAATGGAGGGCAGATTTGTTCTTGCCCTGTTTTTACTTATAATCAGTGTCCAGCTATTTTCAGGCATGAGTACTGGAGCTCAAAGGCTAACACTTGCATTCCCACCATTAGCTAAAGATGCAGTTAGTCATCAGAGTTGTAGGCGACTTTGGAGTTAGCAGCAGCCTCTTTAATGCGCAGTAGCTCACAAAACGGAGCCTGCTGTACTTCAAAGCAGGTTAGTTTGATTGACCTGATAATTCATGACATGAGAGACTGTTGAAAAATGGCAGTCTTTTAGGTTATTGCAACTAGTCTAGTTTTTATGTTTTCCATTTTTGGCTCTATACCCCCTTCAGAGTGTACTTTGATATTCAAGGCAGCAAATGTCTCTGTGGGAGTAAGGGACTTGAATAAATTAGTTTTTCAGAAGACTGAATCCAGTGACTAATTGTGAAGCCAAGGGCAATGTATTTAAAACAGAAATTATTAATGGCTCTGATGCTCCCTGTTTAAGCTGTGACCATGTACAGTATATAGGGTGCCGTGTTTACAGTCTAGTCCTCTATAATTATTTAACATATGTCCGATCTTGATGTAATCTTAAAATCAGACCTGATCTCAAATTTCTCAGAACTGACACCTGATATTGCAGGAAATATTGTACTTTCTAAAGGTTATTGATGTCATCTTTTACAAGACTAACTTTGGAAAGATATTTGCTGTACTGGAGCCATAAGAAATGGCTCTAGCATTTTGAGCCGAGACTTTAAAGAGTATTAGACACTAGTATTTGTCGATCACTAACTAATAATGCTGTTAACAGTTCATTTAACATCGCTCCTTCTAAAGAAATGTATTTAAAAAATATATGAACAAGAAGATACAGAACATATGAGCTGATACAGAACATAAGGAGAGGAGCGTGTAGAAACTTGAACACGAGCAGAGGGATTTTAAAATGTTTAAGCTGCCGTTTCTTTCCTTACTGACATCTACATTGGGACTTCAGCTCTGCCAACACATGGAAAAGGCGCTTCATCGCAAAGCAAAACAACAGAATAGCTTTAGAGTATCAGGGTTTTGATAGGGTGTAGGAAAGTTTTATTATTGGTAGAGTTCTTATTTTAGATAACTTGTCTATTTTCAGGCCTGTTTTCGTTTGAGTGGGGCAGATTTTGAATCCGTGCTGTGATGGCTTTCTTGGCAGAGTACTTCAGCACTTTTTGCTAATATTTATTACAGATGAAAGCAAACATTTTTTAACATTGATAGTCCTTCCCTGTTATGCAGTGTTACACTAAAGAACAAAGTACTAACAAGAAAAACTCTACAGTGGAATAGAAAACGCCAATAGTCCTTCAGTGTACGCAGATATGATTTATGGTTCACAGACGCTGTGCCGCGTCGTTTGTCTTGAAATATACAATGAACAGCAAATTAAAGAGGGCAATTATCGGGGCACATGACAGAACCCTTTCCCTTAGGGTCTGTTCTGCTGGCGTCTCTGTGACATATTATTTCAGTATGGATGCACTTACCAATAACAGCTGGGCCATTTTTCATGAGTGCTGTTCAGGCTAATGTCGTGGATTATGAATGTGCTGGGCCCAGGTCTCAAATACAACTCAACCAACGTTCTTTAGGTTTATGGGAATTTTATGCATGAGCCAAGTAAGCCCATTTGTTCTGACCGTTATTTTGTTTTCATCAGCGGTTTCCACAAGGAATGCCAGGGATTTCCTAATGTCCTAGTTTCAGCCTGTTTTATCTGGAGCATTCCGAAATAAATCTAAAACCCATCAGCGAAACAAAAAAGAAACGACAGCTATTTGTTAAAGCCTGAGCGTTCGGAAACAAATCTAAAACCCATACTGTACATGAAACAAAAATACAGGCCAGCTATTTCTGAGAGCCTGGGGAGGGACTGACTCCGTTACAGGCGAAGGAGACCCCTGTAATTAAGCACACTCTTCCCTCCCTCAAGGCTGCAGTCCAGCAGGGCTTTTAGCTCTCTTTAAACAGCTGGAGTTGAGGAATATTAAATCAACCCAGTCCAGCTAGTGATTAGTTCCAACTAGCTCTGCAGTCAGGAGCTCAGTGGGAAGGAGAGCTGTGGCCCTCTGAGGGCGTTGGTGTGGAGTTGGTCAGGCCGCAGGACAGTAACCAAGGGCTCCACTGGGAATGGAGGAGATATTATCCCTTATCCACAATTTCTGCTTTGTAGCAAAAGAGCCTGTTTACTGCCAGGACTCTTCCTGTGCTGCACCCACGGCCCTCTCCCTGGGATAACAGCTTCTCTCTCTCTGAGGACCTGCAGCCTCTCTCTGTGGAGGGTCGAGCGGTTTCTCTCTCCCAGCGCGAGCCCGTCTCGTGCCAGCCTGTGTTGTGGGAGGAAGGAGGCTGCCCGCAGGGGGGCAGGTTCCAGGGGCGCAGGGGTGGTGCTGCTCAGGCCCCAGGAGTGGCGGGTATCCTCTGCGCCTGCGGCTGGAGAGCGCCTTCCCATCAGCCCCGGCTCGCTGGCGTGGCAGGAATGTGGGACCTGTGAAATAAGGATCATTGAGTAGGGTCTTTGGAACACATCCGCTCTTCCATGAACGAGGTAATATGAGCATCGCAGCCAGTACATCCTCTAGCACGTCCACTCAGAGCAGAGCTCATGCACCACCACAAGTAAATAAAAGGCCGCGCTCTAAATACCAGGTGTGATGAAAAGAAAAACTGATGTGATAAATTCAGCTTCACGGATGTCTAGAAGATTACTGGAGGGAAATTACCTCACAGTATCGCTTACAAGCTGCCCCGGCTCAAGAAAAATACTCCAAAGAAAAAACGCCAATGTGTAATTTCCTCTTGAGGAGGTCTGCTGAAGAGAAATATTCTGATTTTGGTCAACACCAGATATTTTACTTTATATTAGATGAAAAAAAAACTGCCCATCTTACAGATCATACACAAGTGTCTAGAATACCCATGTCTTCCTACCAAGGCAAAACAAAACAATCCGTCATCTTTTGGGAAAAGTTTTTTTGGGAGGGTGGGAATTACTTGAGATTCTGCGTTTGCCCAAATTGGGCTGTAAACTTTCCCCACACCTCTCAGATGCACTGTAGCTGCCTGTCGGGGACACCTGTGCCAGTTTAGCCAGGAGAGTCTTCACTGCTGGCAGTGACATGTTTAAGCAGCGGAATTACAGTTCAGTAAATTATTGATGATTAACATAATTCATTCTGGAAGCGTAAGCCTTTTTCTGTGTGTCAGAGGCTTTGTTCACTTTGTTGTTGGCTCAGCGGGCTGTTGCTGGCTGTGCTTTGGCATCCCTGCCAGCATGCTGTCCTTGATGAGCCAGTGGTGGGAGCTGCCTGGCTCAGTGACTCAACAGTGGGTTTTATATTCGCAGCAGTGGAAGGCGATTTCAGCTTTCAAGGAAGTTCCTTTGCCTTGTCTCGAAGAAAAGGCACTGCAGCTGCCTCCCAAGGTCCCTCATTCTGTCCTGGGCATTGTGCAGCCCCGTCCAGGCCCCGCTGTCCATCTGTCAGGCAGGCCGAGGGCTGTGCTGGTGGCAGATGCTGCATTACGCTGTTGTGTTCCTGCACGGTTGCCGTGGCCAACGGCTGGTGCTGGCTTCTGCCCCCTTTAATCTGCTGGGCTCCCCTTTCGCTGCTTTTCTGCCAGGGGAGCAATGCCCTCACAGGCAGAGCAGCTGGACGTGAGAAACTCGGCTGCGGCTCGGAAAAACCCACCTGTTTCCATGCCGGAGCAGCGGAACTGGAGACGGACTGCGTTCGAGAAGGGAATCGCGTGGGACTGCTGG